ACGCTTCAATAAAAAAATTTGTTCGATATTTTCACGATAAAATGGCTCTGTAAATGCATAAAAATGCATTTACAGAGTGAAATTAGTGTGTGGAATAAGAATGTCTTTGACAATTTAGCTGGCAAAAGACACGAAAAATCGTCGATTCTTTCGTATTTGAAGCAATTTGGAAATCGAAGCGGAATAGAATTTAACATTAGTAAATAATATAAAATAAATATTGAAAATTATAACGAGATAGTTACGGGTAATAGATATATTATATCTAAATAAATAGATGTTATATGTTTTTGTCAAAGCAAGAATTGTCATTTAGAGGGCGTATGGAATATATTGGATTTAATAACAGAAATAATTATATTAAACTTGTTTATTAAGTACGTCAGATAAATAATCTATTAAAAATACATTTAAAGAAAGAATTAACTGATTGTCCCTGGAAGTCGGCTTCTTATAGAAACACAGCTTCCCTATCATCAAATATCACGGCACGCCCCTGGATATTTAGCAGAATTAAATATTTGAAGCCAGAGATGATACCATGGGTTCCTTGGGATCGCGCCTACGTGGAATTTGTGTATTCAGAATTCGCCATTTCTCACACCTCACGATCAAATATAGTAGCCTGGAGAGGCTCATGGAGAATCGATTATTATTTTAAGATTTCGTCCAAACAAATATACAAAAATTCCTAAAACATCCAATATATGAAATACCTGTATTATACTGTTATCGGAGGGATTATTGGATAGAAGACACTGCGCCATGGAAGTTTTTGTTTAAAAATCTATCATAATTTTCTACTTTTTATCATATAATTAAGTCTTATCATTAAGGACCTTCATTTTTTGGCAGTCTACCGAATAGTATATTTAATGAACATTTAGAATATTCATACAAGCTGGAAGTATTTATGAAAACTAAGATTACTTATTTCCTAATAATGAAGAATTACTGTTTCTTCATTACAATTTAATTAACACGCTTCAAATGTGATATTAATATTTGCACATGATCATTTCTTAAAGTTAATATGCTTTGGCAATCCATTGGCATCTTTAGGTGCAACACGCTATCTTTTAGAGTCAATATTTTCTATTAATCTTGTGATAATAGTCTGCATTATGAAATTTGCAGTTCATTAATCTCACTTGTCTGTATATCTTAACATGACTATTATATAATCAGTAACATACCGAGAGATTAAAGACACCGATTCAAGAGTTACTGATAATCTAACGTAGCGAATAATATAGTACTGTACCACCTGCAGATAACTAAATCTACACTATTTGATACTTGACTTGTATTAAACTTTTGAAATACATGTGATAATGCATAAAATTACATTTTGTTTTTGTTTCAATCTTTTATTTACCTGGCAGCATACCTGAAATGTCAACATGGTATGCTAATGTATAATAGACCTAATGTACTGGAGAAGTGATCTCTTATTCTACTTCGATACCAACAGAACCTCAGATAAATTCATTTATGCAATCTGTACTTCAAAAATTATGCAATATAAAACATGAAATACTGTTTTATAATGAATATAAAACAGTAGCATCCACTTCAACTACGTGATAACATGTTGTGTTCAAAGGGCTTTCGATTACGACCCCCTAAAGACTTAACTTTGATAAACCCCAAACTAGAAGAAAAGCTTCTACAATGGTACAATGTTAATCTTAGACAACAAATGACCGGTTAAATGTTATTTTCAGACAAGTCACATTTCTGCATGTTATGGTGATAAGTCTTTAAGTATGATATCAGAACATGAAGCATGCAATCCAAGTTTCTTGAAGACAAGTTCCCAGCAAGCAACCATTTGGGGTTGTTTAATACCATTGTTTTTATTAGCGTCACATTTATGAATACAAACAGTAACAATATGTATCAGATTAGCTTGGAATACTTCATGCTGACATCAGCTGAAGATCTTTACAGAGAACACAAAATCTTTACAGATTTTGTGTTCTCTGTAAAGATCTAAATCATGCTGGAACACAAAATCTTTACAGATTTTGTGTTCCAGCATGATTTAGTGCCAGTTCATTCCACCAAAAGCACAACTCATTGATGTTTGAAATACATCATCAAAGTGTTACTGAATGGATCTTAATCAAATTCAGAACTTTTGGAATAGTGCAAAAAAAAAAAACAAAGAAAACTTGCAACATTGCAACCACCAACCATATATAGTCAATGATCTAAAGACGAAGTTACAATTCATACGGCCAAGTTCATCTATCACTCATTGCCTGAAGCAGATTCATTCCATGCCTTGATGTATTGAAGTCATAACTGCAGCCCATAGAAACCAACAAAATATTGATTTAGAACGATTTGCATGTTGATGTTTATTATTAAAATATACATGTCATGGCAGAAGACAGTTAAAATGAAATTATCCCATTATTTTGATACAGGAGACAGTGTTCCATTATCAGTCGATGACATAAATGATTGAAATCTCAAATGGAGAAAATTATTATTCATAAAACACCTTGCAAAGACCGTATAATGAACTATTAAAGTTAAATCTGTTTTTTTTTTTGGTCATACAATACTGGACCTAAATC